GATAATGACATCAGTCATAATGATAATGATAATAGTAATGAGTATAATGGCGATGGTGATGATAGTGATAATGATAATGATAATGATATCATTATAATTATTACGATAAAGATAATAATCCTAATAACATTGATCATGATAATGACAATGCTAACAATAATAACCATAATAAAAGTTATTATTACTATTATACTCACATTTTCAATGAATTATTAAACAAAGGAAATCCACAGAATGTACGCCAGACTTTGCTGTCCAGAGGATTCAAGGATAACCTTTCGCCGTTTGATAGCCTGATTGGTTCGACATCGAGTGGACGCTCGAGAACCTGTGACCATTACATGAGGCGGAAGGTCACTCACCCTCTCGAGAGGTCGCGGCCACAGCTGTCACTCAAACACTTTCCATCTTCATCTTCTGAATCGAGGTCCCAAACAAAGCACGTTCAGAAACACGTGTCCCTGGGCCGCCGTCCCTCAGGTCCCGGTAGGTTCTTTGACAAAGGAGGCGGGCAAAAAAAAGGCGAGGGCGAGGGGGAGGGGGAGGTGGGGGGAGAGGGGGGAGGGGCCGTGACTGGTCGACCTTGTAGTTTTTAAGGCCGCGGGAGGACAAGCTGAACTTCTTATATAGTTCTGTTCTGTACAAATTACTTCACTCATGCAGTAGGTGAGGCCTTGTAACTACGGCCTTCTTGCTGCCATTTTCTTGTTTTGCTATTTTTTCCTAGAGGGACGTTAACTGTTTCAGTACTTTTTCATAGTTAATTATAACTGATCTGTCAAGTGCAAAAAAAAAAAAAAAAAAAAGTAAATAAAATAAAATCAAATCTGGCGGCCTCAGCATACGGGGACTTGGGAAGAACCTTCAACCACATAGTATCGCATGTTTAAGGACGCCTATTCTTCAAATACGAGCACTCAGGAAGGTTATACGACAGTCGTCTTCGTTAATCTCAAGAACAAACAGAAATACATAAAGAATTCCCTGAAGATACCGATGTTTAAAGAATGCCACGAAGATATTTGCAACTGAGAAACAAAACAATGATGAGAAAATAAACTGACTTTAGAAGTTATTATTATGATATTTTCCACAATCAATCAATATATTTATGAGAAAGAAAGAAAAATTTTCAAGCGACTGAACAAGTGAATTTTCCTTGAGATGCAGAGGAGCGTGTAGGAGCGACGGAGCGTCTAAGGATAAGGAAGCCGAGAGTGCGATCGAACCTCGACGGAAAACCTTTGGTGGCGTTCAGCCCATGTTCAGCTTCTCCATAGGGTGTCATACAATGTTCAGTCGATTAGAAACTCCGTAATATAGCCATACATATGGCGTATCGTTAAAAATGTATTGCATTGAATGATTGCGACGACGTTTATGCTAGTTTGCAATTAGCCACGAGGTGCAACATCTGTGTTGCAAAGAGCCCGGGACAAAGGGAGCTGCAGAGGCCGGCGAGGGACAGGTGGCATTGCTTACACGGATGAACGGCGTGACCTTCTGGCGCGGGATCCATCTGGCAACCGCGCCCGGCAGTTGCAAACTATTTCTATTTGAAAGGTGGTCTGGACATCGTATTGCATAAAGGAAACTTGTCTTTGCGTAATAAGATTTCTTGAATGGGCATGATTAGAAACTAGTGGGTCAGCTTTCTCATTCATGTTTCAAGAATTATGACGCACGAGACAAACACACACACACACACACACACACACACACACACACACACACACACACACACACACACACACACACGCACGCACGCACAGTTAAGCATACATGGAAATGATGAAAAACAAGCATGCAAGTAAGTCAATTGCTTTAATCAACCGTTTCAAAAACATTGAAAAGGATCTCGCGACCAAGCTGATACGCGTTCGTGTTTGTGCGTACGGGTTGGATGAGAGGAATGTGCTTGCATGGAAAAATGAAAGCAGCTACAAAAGTGCCAATGGCTTGCTGGAACCATACACAGGATACCAGTATCATGCTTCGGTCGATCAGGCAACGAGCGCGCGACCCTCGCCGCCCGAAGACGGAGGTGCACAGCGCGCGACTGATAAGCGCGGGTAGAGCCTCCTTCTGAATTTCATGAAGCTTTCTCAACCGTCGTCTGAGGCCACGAGTGACAGGGAGTATCGGCCTCGAGTCTCGTGTTGGTCCCGCGTCTTTGTTTCTTCAAGATAATCGTTATCTTGCTTCTTCGCTCGACCTTCATTTCAGTGATGACGGCAACACAGAATGCAGGGAAAGTATCCAGATTTTGTGCATATATATATATATATATATATATATATATATATATATATATATATATATATATATATATATATATATATTATGAATAATTATTTACCTGTTTACTAATAACACCGACACATTTGTCATGAGGTTAGTATCATCATTGCAAAGATGTCAAACAAAACAGGAACCTATACGGCAATTAATCCATACTTGCAGAGTCCCGTCGTCTTTCCAAAGGACACGGCCACCGCGCCCCCCGCCGGTCCTTCGCAGTGCAATTGCAAGAGGCCAGAGAACAGCGCCAAGCAATAGCACCTGGCCAACAGTGGGTCAAGGTTGCGCGCGTCCGCCGCCAGAGGGCAGCGAGAGTCCCTATCTGTGCACGCCGCGAGCGCCGCCAGTGCACACGTCCGTCCCCGAGCGTAGGGCGTCACACTGCTGGGCGCTCTGCAGACTTCCTGGCTCTAGTGCCTCGCTCCCTCGCTCCTTGTGCTGTTGTCGGAGGCAGTGGTGAGGAACCTGTGGCTGTGGGGACACTCTGGCCTCTGCCGCCGTGGTGTACAGTGCGTGCTGGCGTTGCTCCCGAGCGGTGTTTAGGATTTAAATAGTGACGAAAAAAAAGAAAAAAATAAGTTTGGTTTGTTACTTGATATCACGTGGATTTGCCATCACATCTGGAGGTAAGAAATCACTTTTGAGACGCATTTCGCGAACTTAGTGGTTCTCCGCTTCCACGCTGACTGTTAATATGACAAAGGGGTTGTGTGCGACGCGCCTGTGCCAAAACCGAGCGAGAAGCGAATCCTGACAAGTATGCGCATCGTGATGTTTATTTTTGTTTTTTGCATCCACTTAATCTTCGTAAATACGTAATAGGAAAGAAGCTTGTTTATCTTTAAGCGCCTTTGATGATTGCAACTGGCATCACTATTTATACTATTTCTCTTATTGACATTCTACAGTAATTGTTATCAATATTGAGAACTACTATTCTTTGTCGCGTTTTTTTCCTTATTGATGTTTTAATAGAATCCGATACCAAAGGATGTTATCAGTAATAGCTGTGATGATAGTGATAGTACTAAATATGTCAAGTTGTTCAAATTTCCAACAATAATTCGACTACGAAAATCGCGACAACATAATTCTATCAAAGATTAAAGACTGATATTATGATGATGAACGCGCAAAAATAGCAGTCATGGTAGCAAACAAAAGCGAGACGTGATAATGTGACAAAAAAATGGCAGATATTGTCTTTGTGATGCAATATCATCGCTTAAGATATGAATTAGATCAGAAAGCAACAATGCAAAGCAAGAACCAAAGAAGAAGGCGAATGGAATATGTGAGAGCAGATGAAGAAGGAATTATAGCTTTATAATGATAATGAGAACAATAATAATATTTATGATGATGATAATAATAATAATAATGATGATGAAGATACTACTACTACTACTATACTAACTAATAACTAATAATAATGATAATAACAATAATCATAATAATAATAATAATAATAATAATAATAATAATAATAATAATAATAATAATAATAATAATAATAATAATAATAATAATAATAATAATAATAATAATAATAATAATATAATAATGATAATAAATAATAATATTAATAATGATGATAATGATAATGATAATGATAATGATAATGATAATGATAATGATGATAATGATAATAATAATAACAACAATAATAATAATGATAATTCTTATTATGATTTGTTGCAATATGAGGAAGGGATAATAAGATAAAACAAACAGTAACACAATTCTTTACCGTGTAAACAAAATGATTTATTCACATGCTATTCATATGCCCAACTTCCTTTTCGGATTTGTTTATATTATGATTATAAAAGAGTAACAGAAAGGGTGATAATGACATGTCATAATGATAATGAGGATGATGATGATGATGATAATCATCATCATCATCATCACCATCACCACATCACATCATCATCATCATCATCATCATCATCATCATCATCATCATATCATCACCAAATCATCATCATCATCCACCATCATCATCATATCACCATCATCATCATCATCATCATCATCATCATCATCATCATCATCATCATCATCATCATCATCATCAGCACCACCACCACCATCATCATCATCATCATCATAATCATCCTCATCCTCATTATCAACAACAACAACAACAACAGCAATCACCATCGTCATCAATTATGATTTTAGCACTATTATCATAACAAGGAAACGGGAAGAGAAAAGTAGAAAGAAATGAGGAGACGAATAGAAGGTTAGTCCGAGATGCAGGCGTTCACCACGCTCGAGCGCGACCATCTGCACGCTCCAGCTGTCTGCATCCGAGACAGCTTCACGCAGTCTCGAGGTGTTGCATAACGTGAAAGGGATCTGCGGCTGACGGCGACTGACGGAAGAAAGTGTTATGCCTGACGGGAGGGAGCCGGGCTGAGGGCGCAAATCTCGCTCGCATCCACGCTGGATCTTCCTCCGGGCGTCTTGGAGGAACGTATGAGCGGCTGCTGGGCGGGGGGAAGGGGGGGGGATTTTCTTGGGGGTGAAAAGGAAATATCGCTTCCCCTATTGCAGCATCTCGTACCTAGAATATGAGGGAGATATGGGGAGAAACTGGCACAACACGCACACGCAACACACACACCACACACACACACACACACACAACACACACACACACACACACACACACACACACACACACACACACACACACGCACACACACACACACACACACGCACACACACGCACACGCACACACACACACACACACACACACACACACACACACACACACACACACACACATATATATATATATAGGGAAAGAGAGAAAAGTAACTTTTGTCTGTTTTATAAATAATCGGAAAAATTCTGAAACTCTTCCGTCTTTTCTAGATGGCCTACATCTGTAAATAAAACGAATTTCCCAGTCCGCTGGCATGGCGGTTTGATTCACTGGGATATTTCAATATATACAGTTGGACGAAAAAGAGTCTGTCGACACTATTACTTCTGTTTACTAACAAAGAATATCCAACTGTAGTATATAGTGTACACCAAAAATATTTTATTATTTGATGTAGAAAATGAATAATTGTTTCCAAACTTTTGTATATGGTAATTTAGTATTTGAATATCGTATTTTTTCTCCTTCAATAAATAATTCCAAGGAAGAGGGGCGTATACAGCGCTGGGTTCCTATCCGACAGTAAAGATGAAACCACTCTTTTGGAAAACATACGGCAATGTATGTATATGTATGTGTGTGTGTGTGTGTGTGTGTGTGTGTGTGTGTGTGTGTGTGTGTGTGTGTGTGTGTGTGTGTGTGTGCGTATATATATATATCCTTTTCTTTTTTCTTTTCTTTTTCTGGTTCAGAAATGGGAGAATCGTGAATGGTGTGTGTATGTCTTGGCTCACTTCCCACCACAGCGCTCGCCGACGTCTGCACAGGTGTCGTGTATATGCAAATGGGTGCGTGAGTGCGTTATTCCGCGAAAGGTAAAGTTTCCGGCATTCGCCCGCGTGACCACGTCATTGCATATATTCTTGAGCTGTTCCTTGAGTAACATCATAGGAGCTTGAGAATGACAGACGAATATTAAGAATCTGGAGGTGACGTCAGTGGCACCGTGCAGTCGTAGAGACATGCTGGTCCGCCTTGAACTTGTTGGCTTTCGCGAGAGACCAGGACAGGGAGGCGGAGGGAAGGGGGGCCGAGGTGCAGGGCAGGAGAGGCGAGGGGATGGGTGGGGAGAAGAGGAGCGGAGAGGAATACGAAGAGGAGAGAGGGGAGCCGAGGTGGAGTGTAGGAGAGGCGAGGGGGTGGGAGGGGAAAAGAGGAGAGGAGAAAAAGAGGAGAGAGGAGAGGAGAGGACAGGGTAGGAGAAGATAGGAAGGAAAAAAAAGAGGTGAGAGGAGCAAAGAGGCAAGAGATAAAAAAAAATAACATGGAAAATGAGAGATGAATGGATAGGAGAGAAGAGAAGAGAAATCGGAAAAGGAAATCATTAAATATTGGAGACGCACTGGTCAATGCAGCATATATGATTTAGGGAGTAGGAAATGCTTAATACAGAAATTAAAACAAGAAAAAGACAGAATATTAAAAAGCAAATTAATATTAGAACTCAAGGAGGAGATAAGACGAATGAAAAGCAGAAAAGTGGAGTGGGACAAGATAACAGGAATGAAAAAGGCAGGACCTACACCTAGAGGGAGGTAGATAGAGGGAGGGAGGTAGATAGATATATAGAGAGAGATAGACAGATCGAGAGAGAGAGAGGTATATAGATAGAGAGAAAGAGGTAGATAGATAGAGAGAGAAAGAGAGAGAGAGAGAGAGATCGAATGGGCGAGGGAGCGAGCCGTAGTACATCAGGATGGGTTGTGCGGGCTTGTCACCACGATCATTGAGGATACTTGAATGAATGATCATTTCCACCTAACGATGCGGCCTCTCGTCCCATCACGAGAAGGAGATGCAGCGATTGGTTCTGCCTTTCGCCTGTGCGTTTGTATACAGGAGCTCCTCGTCTATTCACTCATTCGCACGTTTATATACCTGTTTATTTATTCAAGGACGGAAAAAGAGAGAACGACACACATACACACTCTGAGAGGCAAAGGGAGAGTGAGGGGGGGAGAAGGAGACCGAGAGGGAGAAGGGAGAGGGAGAGGGAGCTGGAGAGGGAGAAGGGAGGGAAGAGGGAGAAGAAAGTGGAGAGGGAGAGAGAGAAGAAGGAGAGAGGGGAGAGAGGGAGAAAGAAGGGGGAGAGGGAGAAGGAGAAGGAAGAGAGGGAGAGGGAGAGGGAGAGGAAGAGAGAGAGAGAGAGAGAGAGAGAGAGAGAGAGAGAGAGAGAGAGAGAGAGAGAGAGAGAGAGAGAGAGAGAGAGAGAGAGCAGCAATTAAATGAGGAAGTCATGCTGTGCCCTCTAATAATGCTGCTAAATGTGTTGTTACATGATAGCGTGGAAGCTGCGTGGCCAAGGTTAAGGGGAATCCCCGTTGTATGACTAGCTGTCAGAGCCCAAAACACCGTGTCTTGAAAGGGCACTTGATCTGTCCTCTGCCGGCTCTTGAAATGACGGAGGAACGGGCGTGTTTTGCTTTATTGGTCGAGAGGGAGAGAGAGGACCAGGGAGGACAGGAGGAAGAGAGGAATGGGAAGGGGGTAAGGAAGGGAAAGAAGAGAAGTGGCGAAAGAGAAAAAGAGAATGCGAGAGTTCGAGCATTGGAGGGCGAGAAACGGGAACATGAAGTAAATAAAAGAGAGAGAAAAAAAAATCCAAAAAAAAAAAGCAAAAAAAAAAAAAAAAAAAAAAACGGAGAGGGGCAAGGAGATCAAGAAGTGTGTGTGTGTGTGTGTGTATGTGTACGTGTATGTTTTTACGTATACTCATGTATACAAATGCATTTTCTTGACATCCTCACTGCATGGCGATTTATCACTCCCGCTTGTCTTGCACGAGTCCTGAGGCGATAGAGACTGCCTAAAGCCTGTGTATCCTGCGGGAGATTTATCCAAGGAGCGAGGCACTGGAGGAGGATTGGCTTTATTAAGACAAAGCGAGTGACGAAGCGGAATGCTGGCAAGACAATGACAGGAACGTGTTATTGTCACGTGGTGGT